AGTATCCACATCTTCAGGGTCGGACCAGACCAGGTCACAGAATGCTCCTTTGTGAGGGATCTCCTGGTTCCTCTCGATCGTCCGAATCTGGTCCAGCGTTTTAATGTCTGGAGAAAGACCACCGTGGACACACAGGATCTGCTCATCCATCAGCTGACAGAAAAGAAGAAAAAAGCTAAATTACATTCAAGAGACAGCACAAGCAAATGATATAAATTTGCTATAAGACATAATTATGTGGTTTGACAAATCTTTAAAAGGTGCACTATGTAACTGTTTGGTTGGGGGGGGGGCATCGCCTGCTGTTTCTATGGATATATCACTACCCTGCATGGAATATTTCACAGTATGCCATTAAACAGCTCTAACTTACATTACATTATAAGTGGTTTTATAGCTCAAAAATACTTAGAAAAAAACTGGCATTCTGACTGAGCGGGGTTGCCCCTCAGATCTGACATCTGGTTTGGTTTGGTCTCTATGAAGAAAGAAATGTTTAATACAATACTGTGAAACATTCCAGACAAAGCAATAAAAATAACAATTTGACAGACCCAGAAAATGCACCATAATGCACCTTTAAATACACCAACTAGAAACAGATTGTTACAGTACTTGTAGTGGTTTGCAGAGCTCTTATACTTACAGCTGCTACTGTTAACATATCAAATACTTTGGTACAATAGCGCCAGGCATTTGCATTTCCATATTTGGTCTGACATTCATCTGAAAAACAAAGCAAGTACATGATTTAAACACTGCATCTTCATAATATCATCATATGAATTTATGATATTTACCATAAAAGCCATAAACTTGTGTGATTTGCCTACTCTCATGGTTCCCTCTCAGGAGTGTGATGCGATCAGGCCACTTGGCTTTGAGCACCAGCAAATATGTGAATGTTTCCAAACTGTAGTAGCCACGGTCAACAAAGTCACCCTAAAGACAGTATATGTATACAATTAATCTTTTTTTTTTAAAAGGTGCAGTGTGACTTTTATGGTGGAAGTTTCGTCAAATGTTTTTCTCCATGGAGATGTCATTGCTTTGCTTTGAATGTTTCACAGTATGGTATTAAACCTTTTTATCTTCATGGAAACCAAATCAGACAAAGTTACAGGTCAGATCCGTGGAGAGGCGACTCCGCTCATGGTCAGAATGCCTGTTTTTCTAGGTATTTTTGAGCAATAAAACCACCTGTAATTGAATAAATGTGTGGTAGAGCTATTTAATGTCATACTGTGGAACTGTGCAGAGCAATGACATATCCACAGAAACAAGCTGACAGACTCTCCACCAGAAAAGTTACACATTGCACCTAAATAATAAAACTGTAATAATATTCAATAATATAAACTCACCATGAAAATGTAGTTTGTGTCAGGAACTTGGCCACCAGTTCGAAAAAGTTCACAAAGATCATAAAACTAAGACAGGAGGAAATACACATTGTTAGTAACATGAGACGACACTATTGAAATTGCACAGTGAGGATGAATGTGAGCATGGATGAATGTCATAATTATATATTTTTTTCAAGCAGACTTTTGTGACAAAAATCAAAACATTGACAAAGGCAAAGCAGCAACAGGGTCATCAATAATGGCCATAAAACATAACTATATTTAGAAGTCTTTTAGAGTGAAGATGCTCATCCAAGCAGCTTTTTCACTTCTGGTCAGATTGCATTTGGACCTCAAAACAAGGAAGACAACAGTGAGAGCACCCATTAGCGGCCTGAACAATAATGCAAAATATGACTCAAACGTTCGTCCAGTTGCTACTTCAGCTCTGTTTATGGGAAGAAATATATGCAAATTTCACTTTCAGAACCAGAGGTGTGTGCCAGAACTCAAGTGATCAGATCTCATAATTCATGTGTTTTTACATAAACAAGTCTGATAATCCAAAACATTTGGTTTTGGTGTCAGTTCATTGGATTTCAAGAGTAAATGTGGTATTTTGAAGTAAAAAATATGTTTTTTTGTTTTTTGTTTTTTTTTACATTTTATGTTTACTTCAGAAAATTGGTTATGGGCAGAGTTTTGGTATCACTGTAAACATAGCCACTATTGAGTTAAAATTTTTACCTGTCCGTGTATGTCCCCGCAGACTGTCACAGGAGTGGAAACAGGCTGGACATTAGATTCCTCCAACAGGAGGTCACACACATAGTCACATAACCTCTGTGTGCAGAGACGGAAAGTAAAGATTACAATGGAAATTATTATTTTGTCAGGAAAAAAACACCTAAAGAAAAGATCAAGTGCAGTTACTGAATTGAGTGTAATGCTTTTACCTCGAAATACTGAACACAAATAATCCCCAAAAGCAAACACATCAAAATTATCATGGTGGTCCAATTAATTAACATTCTGTGCTATGGTGGCCAATGTCACCTTTGCACAAAAACATAATATAATCTTGGGAGTATTATACTGCCACCAGTATTGCAAGAACTCTGTAGGAAACACTAATGTATATAAGGCAAAAAGTAAAGTAAAGTGGATATATGAACACAATATTTTCAAATCTAAAGCGGCTATATTTAGTTACAACCCAACAGGAAGAGGCATTTCAGAGGCCAACTGAAGAAACTACAAGAGATAATGCTTTTAAAACGAATCGTGTTAAGTTTAACATGATACAGCAATCAGTAACGTGAGATAATAGCAGTGTTTGTGTGGTAGCATCAGGTTTAGTATTCCCACAGACTGTTTTGAACCGTGTCCAAGCTCCTCTGTTATCAATCCATCAGCTGTCAAAACATGCCAGTATCACCACAACATGACTCATATCTGGGAACATTTGGAAATACCACGGGAAATACTCACAGAATAACCGCAAAAATAAAAGGCGAATGTGATTATTCACAGGTGCTATGTAATCGAAAGTGCTGTCTAAAATTAGCTTTTAATGACTTCCTTGGCAAAGATGTGAAGTCAGCATGCTATGTGGCTAACTTCAGCTAGCTAATCTTGCTATAACAATATACATAAAACTGATTAACTGTCGCTAAACTGTTAGTGTTTGCGTAAAAATGCTTTATTCAGAGAGGCCACTTTACCTTTAGATCATTCTCTGGGAGATATTTACACTGTTTTGCGATCTCCGCGTAGTTATCCAAATCTAAAGGCGCCATGGTTTCTACTGCGCCGCTTCCTCACTCTGCCCATTCAGTGCGAACGTTACCGCCCCCTACTGACACTTCAAACAACTGCAGCCTATACTTCAATACTCTTTGGTGAATTTAACCAATTTTAGAATTATTTGAATAATTAAAATGAAGCCTGACCTTAAAAAAAATGAGAAAATTACAAGATAACTCCTCCATGTGCAAGTGTTATATTCCTCTCAAATTTTTAGCTTTACATCATCCTTTAAAACTAACTAACTAATGAACTAACTAAATTAATAAATAAAATGCGTAGACTTTTTAATACTTGAAACAGAAAGAAGGGGATTTGCTCTGCTGATAAAAACTTTGTCTAAAATACAACAATTCATTTTGCACTAAACAAATACTACTCATTGATTTCATGATGAAGAAATATAGAAAGAAAAAAGAGAAACAAACAAATAAATAAATAAATAAATACTTTCATGATGTAAATATTGTTTTAAATCTTGCTGAGAAATTTAATCAATTCATCCATACAGACCTGTATGGATCCAGCTGTACATTGTAATTTTTGGTTAATTGGAGAACAGTTAGGTCTACTCATAAGTGTAGTAAAGAAATGTTACCACCAGATGTCAGTGGTCACTTGAGTTCGCTTTTCACTCTGGGTTTCATCATAATGTGTATAGAGTGCATTCATGAACGTTAGGAATTTATTTAATTGACAAAAAAAAAAAAAAAAAAAAAAAAAAAGGTTAATATTGTCATTTGGAGGGTCTTTTGCACATACCAACTATGTCATGGATTTCTCTAAGCTCATACTCTTTTCACCTGTCAATAATACAGTAAATAAATAAATAACCTGTCGTGTTGTTTTGTTGGTTTTGCATGTTATCTTTTGCAGTTATCTACTTTTCATGTTCCCTTTGGAGGATATGTCCAAATTACATCTCCAAAATAATAAATAATGATAAAAGGGCAGAACAGTTTTTTCAAAGTATTTTAAAGTAAAGTTTAAAAGTATAAATATAGTTATTATATGCTTTGAATGTTTAGAGATGATGGACTAAATCAATCAGTGTGCACAAACGGCCTTTATGCAGGATTTACATGTAAACAAATGCCTATATATTATAATCATAGTTTATAAAGGATTACAAAAAATAGACTCATTAAATCACCCATTGCCTCAAGCCTTTAAAACTGATCTAATGTCAAATCTATAATGCTTGTTTTTCTCATTGGTTAGACCATCATATAAACTCTAGTATATCTATTTTAAGGAACCCAAGTTAATCCTGAAAATGTCCATAGCAGCAATCAGTTCCTTTTCCTGTTTATATTCTAGATCAGATGTGTAGCCTATTGTCAAATGCATTTCTTGTTTGTTATATACACCAGTGCGTTGTAAAAGGCAAACTTGTATAAGGCATTTTTATTTGTGCCTACATGGATATATGCCCATAGCCATCTCAGAGGCATCCAACAGTGCCTATTAATAATATATATATTGTTTACAGACTAATTAAAACACGTTAGAGGACCTTTTTGAGAATAGATTACGCACAATATTAAGACATGTACCATTCAAATCACGACTCCAGGTAGCATTTCGTGTCCAAAATTATGAATGAAACGTATTCCGTGTGCCCCCATTTTCTTCTCTGCCTGATCATTTGGCCTACAATGTGATATATAGGCTAGTGGAGCTGAAGCATGATTAACGACGGAGCGCATAACCAATCCACGCGCGCCTTGGGAATTCCTATCGCGGCTTTGATTGGCTCTTCCCCGCCCCGGACCCGGCCAACCCTCCGCACAGGTTTGGTTGTGCAGCAGGCAGCAGGTGAAGTGTTGCTTGCGGTTCATAGGGCAACAAACAGCAGCCAGCCGCCGGGGGACATCAATGGTGGCGTTAATTCAGGGAAGGGTCTGAGAAGGACCGATACTACGGCGTACATGGAGAGCTGAAGGCCGAACATGAGGCGAACGTCCTTAATAATGTACATATCTGCTGCATTGCTAGTTATTTTATATGTATATAGCGGATTTTCCGAAGCAGCACCTCCTCGCATCAATCAATACGATGCGTCTACTACAATCGCCACTTCTTCTCCACCTCCACGAATTGGGATTTTATCTGCCACCGCGGAGCAAGCGTCTAGCGTGCAAAGGCGATCCACGGATGCTCAGACCACTCTTTTCGCTCCGGAGAAAGCGCTACAGACCATGGTGTCGTCTATGGTCTCCCAGCGCTCCGCCAACGATGCCTGGTCCGCGGATAGCACTGGCCCCGTAGCCGCTGTAGACGCTAGCCAAGGTGAGTGCGCGAATTGGAGAAAGCACTTTCGTTTTTTTTCATGCCATCTTCTATCAAATATTTATCCATAACAGCATCATTTTGTGGTTGCTTTGCACAAAACAAGCGTGGCCAAAAGATGTCTTGAGCAGATTTAATAGAGATGGTTATGCATTTTGACGCAGAATTAAACACTATGCAACAATAGGTATCTGACGTTCCCTTTTACGCACTAAAAATCCTAATACAATTACAGACGAATCACGCTGTAATTTATCCCCTGTGGTTTCGTGAAGTGTGGCCTATATTGCACTCCACACTAGCCCTTTATCATAGGATGCCACATATATTACATTGGCTGGCTAAAGGGGAGGGGGGTTGTGCGTGAGGGGGTGTAAGGATGATCCTGTTTTTGTTTGATGGGCACTTGTATCCATCCTCCTTCACGCAGATACTGGTCGCTGAGTGTATATTTTCAGGGACATGCTTTGAAGAAGAAAAAGTGAGCAACGTTTCCATCTTCGCTACGTGCCTCCCTTATTGTTGTTTGCAAGGCATCAATAAAGACACAAGGCCACCCAATCCAAAATGGCCAAGGAAGACAGAGCAGGGCATGAATGAGAAATGATACGATAAAACCCCTCCTCTCACACCTCTTGCATCCTCACAGCCTCCATGTGCGAGTGTTGTTCTCTTGAGAGATTCCTAGACAAAAAGAAAATCAATTTTTGCTTTGCAACATCCATTTAATAACAACAAAATACCTTTGCCATTTTTTTCTGAAACCAAATTTACCAAACACATTTCACACTCTTTGGCACATAAAATCACTATCAATTATTGTTTGTTTTTATTTTTTTCCCAAATATGGGCCTTTCCCCCTAAAACATAAATTCTGTAATGATGCTTCTATATTATTGATCTGGCATGAAACACCTAAACATGACTTTACCATCAAAATCCAATAGCTAGGCCAATATCACCCTTACATACTCATTCTATCTACTATCTACTGTTCTGTCTTACATTATGGCTTCTCACAACAGGAGGTCCAAGCCACTATCCATTTTCTTATACATGCTTTGTTCGCCTATCTTCCAGTCAGCACTAATAGCAGCCCAATGTAAACCAAAATGGCTGATTTTTTTGTTTTTTTGTTTCACCGTCGCCATTAACGAATGGTTACACCTCACTTATTTGGTGGAAATGTGTTTGCTATGTATTGGCTATAAAATGGAAAGCGCTGAACTAAGGCTGATGTTTTGTGTTGGTGGATGCATAAAATTGGCTTACTGTGACTATTTGCAGGAAATACAATAAATTAGATGTGTAACCGAATGGAATTTTTTTTTTCTCCATCGAATGCAATATATTGGAATAGTAAACTGTCATAATTTCACTATGAACTGATGGATCTAAATGTCAACGAGATAAAAGAAACACTCTTATGGTTTGGTTAAGATGTGAGCTTGGGTTAGTCTTCATCCGCCATTATAACTATCAATGCTATTATCAATAAAGATTTTACAAAGAATTTTCTCCTAGTTTGAGTATCGCTCTATTTTGGACATTTGACTTGACTTCACTTTGTATTGTTCTTTTATAGCACTTAAAATTTAGGTAAACACTCGGTGGGTTTGTGACAATGATCTGTCTTTGATTATCATCTATCACTATAGGATGCAAAATGGCGTCTTATAAGATGCCTTTTAAAATTATGACGAACTGCAAATCATGAAATTTGCTTTGTTCATTTCGGGAAAGAAATAATAATCAAAACATGATTTGTTGGTTCTGTCTGTTTTTGTTTTTCCAAATTGCATTCCTTTGTAATCAGTTTTGCCTATGATCAGAAATTACTATTATTATTCTTTATACAGTATGGATAATTCTTGTGTCCTTAAAGGTGCACTGTGTAACTTTTTGGCTGGAGGTCCGTCACCTGTTTGTTTCTATGGAGATGTCATTGCTTTGTCAAGAATGTTCCACAGTATGACATTAAACCGCTCTACCTTACATTTAGTCAATTACGGTTGTTTTTTTAGAGCTCAAAAATACCTTGACAAGCATTTGATGGACCCTCCACCGGAAAAGTTACACAGTATACCTTTAAATGTACACTACCAACCATAGAATTTCTCATATTTTGCATATTCTAAGTGCGTGGTTTTGTCTGGTTTGGTCCATGTTTGATCCCAGGTTAGATTTTTTGGTTTTGGTATAGTCCAGGTTTATTGATTGCTGCAGAGAAATACTGCGATAAATGATAATATTGAAACTACTTTATGGCACCAACACAATAACAAAGCAAGATAATCCCAGTTAACCATTTGTGAAATAGACAGTATTATTAGAAGGAGTCAGAAGCATTAAATAAATAGCAGAATGAATCAACAGTTAGCCATAGAAGTGACTTTTTCAACCGTGTGAAGCTCAGATCATATTGTGTTACAACTAAAACATCAAAAATGTCCCCAAAATATAAAGACGATAAATATTGAGTACGAATATATATTGAAGGATATATAAATCGATATAATCATTATTGTGGCAGGCCTCGTCCCAGTGTAGTTTACAATGTATTTTGCAAACACCCTTAGTCCCTGGTTCTGGTTCAGTCCTGGATTAATCCCTTAAAGGTGCACTGTGTGACACTGAAGATGTTATTGCTTTGTCTGAAATGTTTCACAGTATGGTATCTTCATGAAGACCAAACCAGACCAAGTTACACGTCAGATCTTTGGAGAGGCAACCCCGCTCACAGTCAGAATGCATGTTTTTCTCTGTATTTTTGAGCTATGAAAATACTTAAATAAATGTAAGGCAGAGCTGTTTAAAGTCATACTTTGGAACATTCCAGTTAGAGCAGCGACATCCAGAAACAAGCAGGTGACCGACCCCCAACCAAAAAGTTGCATAGTGCATCTTCAAAACAGATTTGTCTCATGGAAAACACTTTTATACTCAATATTTTGACACACACCACCTGCTCCATCTCTGTATAAGATAATATACTTTGCCTGACATTGTATACACCACCACAACAGTTTTATTTATACTGCTGACCTGTTCCTGCTAAATCTACTATCAAAAGACGGGTCAGAGGTGGCCCCAGGCTGTATAGGGATTTACTATCTGCAAACCAGAGCAGCACCTCTTTGTCGCTCCATAATGGCGCTCACCTGATAATATCACGTCAACAAAGGCGTGACCCAGCCGCGCCCTGGTCCATATATACCCCGTCTGATAGATACTACGGGGTTTTGCACATACCTCCGGGCATTACTGTTGTTAATAAGATCTACCATGTGATGTCTTGTGGCTCTTTCAATTGTTAGAAGCAGATTTCCACTATCAGGGATTCTTATGTTTTTATATGAGTAATAACTGTAGATGTGGAATAGTCGATCTGGGGTGTCCAGTCTTTTTTCCATCTCAAAACCTATTTGAAGTGGATGTCCAAAGCGCGGTGATCAATACAGTGGATTATTCAAAAAGATGCACTTTAGAGCTGCCATGCCTTTTTAAGAAATCTTGGAATAATCACTTTAGATGTGTATCATAATGTATAGCATTGTTATTAACATTATAGTGATAGAATAATAATCGCTATAACGTACTATAATAATTTCTCTGTAATTGCAGCAAAAATTATCCAATCTATCTATCCAATTCTGCAGGTGACTTGAGGTCCAATGAAAGATTTTTGAATAATGTTTTAAATAAGCTTAAAATTGGTCTGATCCTATTGTTGTCTCCTGTATTGGACGTTTTACCTCGTTTCATAAATTCCAACATTATTTTTATGATTTTCTATAAACTCTGATAAATTATATTGTATGAAATATGAAGAGACTTTTCACAGGTACACTCATTTAAGTCATTACTTTGAAACACACCCATAATCCAATTAATTTGTGTAGTTTGTCATTAAATTAATTACGTGGATTTGCTGTTGACGTGTCCACCACCTTCTTAGGAAATGTCAATTGTTTTGTTGTAATATGTCATTAAAGGTTTCTATCGCCATAGAAGACAAGCAGGTAACGTCAAAAGGTTACCTAAAAGTTACCTACGGGTCAAATTTTTATTGATGTTTTTGAGGAATGAAGACACCTGCAATTGAGCAAATGCAAAATAGACGTTAGAAATAGAAGTTAAATGCTGACATAACCTCCATCAGAAAAGTTACATAGTGCAGCTTTACAATGTGTCAGTGTAATTTGTAAACCTTAACACTATTCCTCCAGCGGTGGCCGTATCCTTCCCCCTCTCTTTCTCTCTCTCGCTGTCACTGTAAACTACACACTCACAGCTTGTTTTCCGTCCAGATAGAAGAGGACAGTTTTCCAGTGGATGTGATGGGAGCAGAAAGCCTGACCGGGCAGCAGAGAACACAGCCTTGTATAACGGCACAGCCCCTTTCTTTAGTTACATAAAGGAAAACGTCAGGCCTATTCGGGTTCAAATGCCCGGGCTTAAGCCACTCCACACCTCAGCTACATTAATAATACATGGACTCTCTTCTGCTGCAGGTCTCTGGCATTAAAGCCTCCAATTTCACTTATCTGTGAGTCCCAAACACAAATCCTGCTTTGTAAAGTGGAGGATAGCTGGAGCTTTTTTTCTGTTTAAATTCCTGTGAGTTAAAGGTGCAATATGTAACTTTGGAGGTGGAGGGTCTGTTAAATACTTTTCTTCATGGAGATGTTATTACTTGGTCTGAAATATTTCACAGAAGCTTATTAAATCTTTCTGTCATCATGAAAACCAAACCAGGCCAAATTACAGATCAGATCTGTGAAGAAGCAGCCCTGCTCACAGTCAGAATGCATATAACTTCCAAAATGTTACACTGTTCACCTTTTAAAGTAGCTGAACTTGATTTTTGTCCATATAGTTGAGAAAAATGAGTTTTGCCTCAGTACAGATACTGAAGAAGCAACTTTTGAAATGAGAATGCTCTGGGGTGTCTGCTGTCTGCATCTTTAAATGAATTTTTTTTTTTTTTTTTTTTTTTTAAAGCTAACATTTGCTCGAGAACCAGGAACTGAGCTGTAGACATGCTAGTCATTATTTGCACTACTGTGAAAGTTTGCTCTGCCCCCAGAGGACCTTTCCAAGCCAAACTGTAAATGGACAGGATGCTCTGTTTGGTTTACATTTGGCTGCTATTAATACTGACTGGAACTGAATGATGATTGAGAGTTACAGAGACTTACTTACTGACAGATAACAGCACCAATATTTGAAAAAGAAAAAAGTCATGTTTTTGGAAATCAGTTACAAAATAAAATATTTTAACCTGCCATCTTTCTAAATGCATTGCTGACGTGTCAACTGTTGAGTTATGCAGGATCCTTAGGGTTAAATGTGAGGTTTTTAGGACTGAAAACTGACTTCAGTTTCAAACGCTTGGTATTACACTTCTGGTGGAGGACCCATTAACTGTTTGTCTCCATGGAGATATCACTGCTGTCTGGAATGTTCCACAGTATGGTATTAAACTCCTCTACTTTACATTTATTTAATTGCAGTGGTTTTATGGCTGAAAAATATCTAGAAAAAGGCATTCTGACTGTGAGCGGAGTCGCCTCTCCACAGATCTAATCTATAACTCAGTCTGGTTTGGTCTCCATGATGATAGTAAGTTTTAATGCCATACTATGAAACATTCTAGATGAAGTAATAACATTTCCATGGAGAAAAGCATCTGACAGATCCTGTACCAGAAAAGTTACACAGTGCACCTGTTAAATATCAAACTGCAAAATATTTCTTTCCCCCAGTAATTTTGTGATTAAGTGATTCATTTTACACCTCTCCTGTGTCATTTTGATTCATAGTTTTGTTTTTGTTGCAAATGTTCTGGATCCTGTGCATAGACCAGATAACAATAGTTAGATTAGTTGACAGTTATTTCAGTAGAGACATGCAGGACCCCAGTCATGACCACAGACTGTTCTCCTGCTGCCATCAGGAAGGCACTACCATCTTCTCAGGGCTAAAACTGAGTGAATGAGGAGGAGCTTTTGCACCGAGGCCATAAGACTGATAAATCAGGAGTTAAACCACTCACCTCTAACTCTCTTCTCCTTTGTCTACTTCTTATATTTACTGTATGCATTTGTTGTGTTTTATGTTGCTGGAAGGTACACAAGAATTTCAATACATACTGTCCTGAGCGTCTGTGTATGTGACAAATAAACTAAACATTTGTTGCAATTAACAGCCCTACCACCAAACACCCACACATACTACAAACACAAACTGATGGGGAGTGCATTCTGTAATGTAGCTCTGTCCAAAAGAGAAACTACACTTTTGTCTTTCTTTATTCTTGATCCCCATTAGTTATTGTCACAGCAGTAACTTCTCTTTTTGGAGTCCACGTAAAATTAACTTAACGATGATTAATAAATCCAAGTAAATTGCAACTGTATTCAGTCATTAGTGAAATAAAGATTTATAAAGATTAGAAAGGTAGATTGCACTGACGGACCTCTGAGTAAAATGGTCCCATATGTGTTTTATTGCCTTATGCTCTCACTGTTGTTAAGTGTATAGGTGCTTGGATTAGCCTGTCCATAGTGTGCAATATTAATGAACAAATCAATTACAATTTCAGATGTGTGACAGCGTGGCATTAATCAGTGGTGATCTCACTTTGTGAATAACACCATGAGTCACTTGGTTGAATGGTTCAATGCCTGTGGTAGTGTAAACTCATATCTCAAAGCATCATGGGAGACAGGCCAATATAGAGTCTTGCCCAAGAGCACGTCCATAATGTGAACAATAAGGAAATGAACCATCAACCTGGCAGTTAGTGAACAAACATCTGTAATCCCCAAGCCCGCGTTTAGTGTATTTGTTTAGATTATATTAATTTTAAATTACAAAGAAAAAATGGAAATGTAGGGAGAATGGCCGATTTTTTTATAATCACAATCTATATATTCTGTTTATATTGGGCTATCTCTACTTCTGGTTAAGGAGGTAAGTCTGGTATGGTGTTTTTCATATTGTGTTCATATATTAATATTTACAATCCAATTAAGAAAATGAATAGTAGTGAAATAAAGTAGTGCATAATAATATATAGTAGTGAAATATTTGTTCTTTCCAGTCTTAAAGTCCTAATTCTGATCCATTAATGTGAGTTCTAAATATTCGCCAATAGTTCCAGATGGTCACATAACTTGCTTCCATTTGAATTACATTTCTTTTTCAGTTCCAACATGACAATAATGACAGTTAACTCAAAGAAGCAGACATTTCAGAGGTCAGCCTTATGTAACCCGGAGCGTTCCTCAAACAAACCACACGATCAGGCCAGGTCCAGACAGGAGTGCTTCCTCGCTTTTAATACTGGTGATTAGTTGTGAAAATAAATCCTTCTTTGTTAAACTTGTGTTCAAATAAGTGTGTATTTGATATCTTTGGGAAGGAAAGTAAGCAGGTTATGAAAGTTATATAATGTTGTTTCCTCATGAAAAACATACCTGGAGTTGTGTTTTGTTTCACTCTGTTTAAACTCTATACTCCTCCACTGGAATCATTTGGATAATTTCAGATCAGGAATTGCCAGTCTCTACTGAACTAAAAGTAAAAGATAGCGGTTAACATGAAAACTACAACTTTTTGACATCACAAGGTGGAACAAAGCATTTTGAGTTTTGGAAATGTAGTGAGACCAATAGTAAAGGATTACTCAAACAAAACACTGAATAGCTTTAGAATGATCTTGCGCTGTATCAGAACAAATAAGACCACATAGGTTAGTACATCCATGAACCACTATGGAACCTGCCTGGACAACTTCGGGATTACATAGATAAAATACTACATGGTAATATAAAAGAAAGTACTATTGTGTAATGTTAAGCACACTATTATCAAAACTGAGAATTGGAATTGGTATTGAGTAACACAAAGCAAGGCAAGGCAAGTTTATTTGTATAGCACAATTCATACACAAAGTAATTCAAAGTGCTTTACAGAATAAGAAAGGCATTAAAATCACAATACAAACAAATTAAACCATAAATAATCATCAGAAAAATTAACATTAAAAGAGAAGTATCAAGTCTATTCCTTATTTAAACTGAGTTGTAAACGTTACATCACTCTCTAATATTAATAACGTTTACAGGGGAGTAGACGGAGGGACAAAGGAGCCCAGATTTGGACCTTCATCCTGTTAATTTATACTGGAGTGAGGCCCATGTGAGGCTCCCCAGATTTGAGAAAATGAAATCAACTTGCTCATACAATATCTGCGTCTCCTTCTTCAGAGTTGGTGTGTAACTGCAGCACTGGGGCGGAGGGCATCCTGGACCCAGACGAGTGTGACCCCAAAACAGGCCAGTGCTCGTGTGAGTTGGGCTACAGCGGGCTCCAGTGTGACGACTGTGAGGAGGGCTACTTCACCAACGGGACCAGCGGCTGCCTGCCCTGTGCCTGTGACTCCTACGGGGCCGTGGACTCTCTCTGCGACAGGTCAGGACAGAATACACTCTCAACTGTTGAGTTATTCTCACTGCATTCAACAACTTCACAAACATCTTCAAGTGCATATGACAGGTTTTGATGATTTTCTAATTTTGATTTAATGTGATGGGATCATACCTGTTGTAAATATAAATTATAGTCCTTTGAAGAAAAGCTTAAAAATATGTTGAAAATTACAGAAGTGGATCATTTTATTTTGGGGAGTTCTGGGAGAATTCAGTCCAAATTACACAAGAAACACACAAGAAACACATTATTCTAATACTTTAAACAGTACTTCAACAAAATAATGGTGTTTTGTTATATTTTTATTTGTCAGATATTAATTTCCGTGTACTTCAGGGGAATTTTGGCCCAGTGTACACATGGTTGCTCACAATTCCCTAGTGTGATGTCATGATTTCCAACCATGAAGTAAAATTTTAAACCTAAAATTCCCCAAATTCTTAAAAGTAGAATCTTAAAAATATAATATCTTAACTATGTTTTAGAAAAATAAATAGTCCAATCTGTCACAGGCACTTTAACAGAGCACAGACAGGGGCGGCACCAGATATTTTTGGTTGGAGGAGCTAAGGAGGGAGTCTAAATACTTCAATGGGGGTCCTTCCTAAACTTGTTAATTTAGATCCTTTTAACAATGGAACTTAACCCCACACCCCCTCCATGTTTGCTTTGCTGTTTTAAACCAGTTTAACTGTAGTTAGCCCCTGTAGTGATTTATAAAAGCGAATATGGAATGATTGTTTTTATAGTTCTTTAGTGTTCATTGAGTGTGTATTTGTCCTACAGCTCCAAACTGTAGCGTACATACTATGAGTGTGACAGAGCAGTGTGGAACATTGGGTTTATACCTTTTTACAGGAGCCTCTATCTTTAGCTGCAGCACGGTGGCGGTCTGGTGAGCTGATGGGAGCCGCGTGCTGTGAATTAGTGACTCTTATCTAATGTAATCTAATGGAAATGGAGACAAAACCGGATCAGCCTGGTCATGCTAGAAAACACTGCATCTTGATCAAATTATCTCACAATTTAGTAGTTGTACGAGACTGAATTTCACTTTTTATTATCATTTCTCATGTAGTAAATTTGGAATATTATGTGATACAAAATATCTTCCTGTATTTTAGGCTGTATAGCCAAGCAGATTTTCTTTACTTCTTTACTTCTGTTTATGAGATGGGTTAATCACTGTTTTTGCGATCAACCTGAAGAAATCAAATTGAATCAAACTGAAAAGCTTCGGTGTTCAGATGACGACCACTGAGACCGCCTGTACCTTGTAACTTCTGTTTATAATTAACTGTTCAGTGCTGTGTGGTTTGTTTACTGTTGCTGCTGATGTTGTATCCTATGATAGATATTGTGTTGCTTAAGCCAGGACTGGACAATATTACAACAAAATATGTCACATTTCTTTTCCTCACAGTCTTTGATTATGATTAAAATGTATAACTACATTGCTTTAAACACAAACATTGTCAAAAATAGTAACATTTCTACATCCAAAGTCCACATACATCTTACGGACAGAGGATTGGCTGTAGACCTCTCCATTAAAAACAGAAGTAACTGATCATTGATTAGAAATGACAGAATTGATTTAGAATAAATTTGAGCATAGTTGGTGCATAAGCTAAGCAGTATGTGTTTAAAGATGCATAAACTTTTATTGCAACGTGACGACAGCTTCAATAACTGTTTTTAATTTAGTGTAACCAACCAGATTAATCAGGCATTAAATTGCTTAGGCTATAATCCGGTTCTTACAACTCCAGGCAGTTATTAGAATTATGTATTAAGTGTAGTAAGTATAATGATAAATGTGCTATTACAAAATATGCAATTATGTGTAAAGATAATAGTATTTAAGATTTATAGCTTGCCATTGCAGTTGATACTTATACTTTCCTGGTTATCCTTGAAGGAACCTCCCAGTTTTTCCAGACTCGTCACTAACTCAAACGATGTGAAATTACAAAGAGTAAGGCAATTTAAAAAACAACAACATTATACATTATGATGTTTATTAAAGGTGCATTGTGTAACTTCTCTGGTGGAGTGTCCGTCAAATGCTTTTCTTCAGTGAGATGTTATTTCTTTGTCTGGAATGTTTCAGAGTATGGTGTTAAACCTTCCTATCTTCAAGGAGACCAAACCAGACCAGTTTACAGGTCAGATCTGTGGAAAGGCAACCCCGCTCACGATCACAATCCTTGTTTTTCTAGGTATTTTTGAGCTATAAAACCACCTGTAACTGAATAAATGAAAGGTAGATCTGTTGTCATATTGTGGAACATTCTAAGCAGAGCAAAGACATATCCATAGAAACAAGAAGGTGACACACCCGCTACCGAAAAGTTACACAGTGCATCTTTAAGTAAATTGGCTCTAACCTGTGGTACTTGGGGCCTATAGCTGCAGTCCTTGCTTGTGTCTGTGCGTGGGCTTGTATCCTCAGTAAAAATAGTGTCTGCACTTTCTGTCCCTAAACGAGGAGCAGAGACTGAGCTCACTGCAGAGGATTGTGTCAAATTCTGGCTTTACGTAACCAGCTGCAGTCAGTGTCACCACGGCGTTTGTAACATGCACCACTACTTGTGTAAAATGTCTCTATAGTTTACAATCACAGCTAGACCAGAGTTGTCATTAGCTGTCATAGCGAGGACACATATATTGAAGGTTATTTATTACTTATTGCAAAGTGGTTTTAGCTGTAGGATCTGGCAACCTGAAGTGAGCATTGTTCTGTTTGGATTGTCAGTTTGGGAAATAAAACTCAAAGTGTTAAGACAAATGAATATTTTCATACAATGGTATACAATAAACCATTACAATTTGCTGCTGGTAAAATTGGTATTTGATTTGAACATTTTAACTTCATATGAGGACACCTATATGTAATGTTTCTTTTTTGTATTTTTATCTCTGGAATAGCACAGTCATAGACAGGGGCCAGGCTGAAATTCTATACTTGATGAATTGGAGGCCCTTGTGTGCAGGTTGTGTATGTGGGTTCAATTCCCCCATCAACCTAAAACATGCAACAGTCCAGTGCTCCAGCTAGGTGCTCCTGACCAAGACCTCGCCTCAATGCCTGAGAACTTGCAGCTTATATTAGGAACAATTTGATTTGATTTGTATAGGCTTGTAGACAAGCCAGCTCACAATAAAATAGCAGCACCTTGTACAATATATTCCCTTAAAGATACACTGTGTAACCTTTCTGGTGGAGTGTCCGCTTCCTGCTTGCTTTCATTAAGGTGTTATTGCTTAGCCTGGAATACTCCACAGTATGGCATTAAATGTAAGTGGTACCACCAGGACAAGTTACAGGTTAAATCTGTGTAGGGGCAAGCCCATTCACAGTAAGATTGCCTGTTTATTAGGGCTGGGTATAATTAAAAAGTTGCCAATACGATACATACCTCGATACACGATACGATACATATCTCGATACAGTGAGCTTTTGATTCGATACTATATATTTCAAATCAATTCAATACGGTTCAATAAATAAATAAATAAAAGGCTAAGTCATTGTTGTGATACTAAAAGTCTTTGTTAAACCACTTCTTGTGCAAAGTTCATATGAAACACAAACATTATAATCCTCACAACAGTGAAAATGTCAAATGTGACACATGAATGAGTTTTCTTCCTCTGAACAAGCAACAAAACTGTAGCACTGTAACAAAATTATTTTGTAAAATACATAAAAAAAACACTCTTGGCAATATATCAATACAGCAGCCCACGATATCGATACTGTATCATCACATTAAACAATACAATATATGATATGATGATGATATATGATATTTTTGCACACATGTTTATTCAAGGTATGTTTGAGCAATTAAAACATCTGTAAATGAAGTAAGTGTAATGCCATATTATTGAACAGTCAAAGCAATAATATAAGCTCCACCAGAGAAGCTGCATAATGTACCTTTATGTCCTGCATTTACACAAAATTGACTCTTGTGGGTGTTTAGTCATGTTATAACGCTGTTACTTTGTCAAAAACATATTCAGAATTGTGTTTTGCTTCATTCACACATGTTTGAATAATCCTTTTATTATTAGTCTGGTTCAGTCTCCAAAGCTCAAAATGCTCTGTTCCACCTTGTGATGTCATGAGGCAGTAGTTTTCAAGTTAACCGATACCTTTTACCTTTTAATTCAGTAGAGATGGCCAATCCATCTGATTTCAGTGACTTTAAAAACACAGTGGAAAAACATGGGTGAATTAAACAAAAAAACTCCAAAACTTTTGATGAGGAAACAACATAATAACATAGATCAGAAAATAGTGTAATATGGACTCTTGAAAGACAATGATAAAACTCTCTATACTCTCTTTGCACATTCATGTTTGCAGACAGAAGGGTCAGTCCAGAGCTAAAGCGTTTTCACACATAGTTCTCAGACCGTCTGGACCATGCAGACCTCGCTAACCCGCTAACATCACTAACCCGGCTATAGCCTCAGCCTGCAGCCCCCCCGCGGAGCTGATTACCCGGAGTTACACAGATTAACATTGTGTCTACCCCTTTAACTTAAACCACTCATTAAAGAAAAAGCCACTGGATGGACTCAGTGAATTAATGCTGCTTTAGACCCCATTAAAGGCTCCAGCACCCTGCATGGTCACAGCCCGCAGATGACATTGAGACCACCTTGAGGATGGATATAAAAGTGATTGATCTGCTTTTTTCATTGAGAATTTATACACAGGCACATAAAGATGGGGTGGTGGGGAAGAGGATAAGAAAATAGCATTTGTTCTAGTGCATTACATTTGGTGCCTATAGCTACTTTTATACTTGTGTGTATTTATTGTAGTGTAATAGGCTAAACAGTGATAAAAAATGTTACTGTATTATGATAAACAGAAATGATTTATTGACCTGCTTGGTTGGACGTGTTTTTTTTTGTTTTTTTTTTGCCCCCCCGATGTTAACTGTTTATAAGGATGAATTTGG